CTTCTCCAATATATCTTTTTATTTAGATTCCCATCTCTCTATATTTTATATCACTTTTTATCTCTCATATCTTTTCTTGTATCTCTCATACCTTATTTAAAATTTTATCTCTGTTTATCTTATTTTTTTATTCAACTATTTATCTTTTCTCTCACTTCCTTCTATTTTCTTTATTTTATTTACAGAAACCCACAGTTACCGTCTTGGGATAATGAAAATACCAACTGTTATTGTCTCCACGACAGTAATTGTGCCTTTGTTACTGTCTTAGGATAGTGAAAATACTTTATTGTTACTGTACCCAAAATAGTTACAATGTCACCTATAGTAGTCCAGGACAGTAACAATTACTCTAATGTCTATCCCATGAGAAGAATAAATACAAAAAAAGTGAAAAAAATAAGATAAAATTTTTATAATACACAGTGTCAATGTGGCTGTTAGTGTGACACACCCACAGTGACACTATGTATGTGTTCTATGTATATACAACGAGAGATAGAGAGAGAGAGAAAGAGAAAGTGTCTTAATTTGGAGAGAAAATGAGTTCACATGGTCATTACTGATGAATTCAATAAATATTGTCAACATGAGCTACACAAAGAACATCACCAACATGACTCATTCGGATTTATAACAACTATGGATGATTTTTTGAAGGTAATGATCGACACAATTTCTCAACAATACATTGTGGGATGGAATTTTGAATTTTGTATTTGATTTTCTTTGAATTTTGAATTTTTGAATTGTGTATTAAAAGAGACTAGGTTTATTTCCATCTTTACACACGTGATTGTTTTTAAAGTCCCAAAAAATTTATGCCTAGACTTCTTCCCCTAAAAGTTTGTAACTGTGAACCGACTTCCAAAAACCCCTATTTAAAATAAATGTTATGAATGGGCTTTTATGAATTGGTTTAGAATTTGAGTCCATATTAATTAATAAGAAAAATAATATAATGCTTACTCATAATTATATAATGCGTAAGTTTGGATGAATAATTATATAATTGATCTTTTTGCCCATTAAATATATTGACTTAAATAATAAGTTAATTATAATTAATTAAATTTGATCTTTCACCAATTTAGTATTTTTTTTAATAAGACACAAATTAGTATTGACGGGCGTCACTGCTGCTGCTGTTGCTACGATTGTTGATGATGTTGTTGCTATTACTACGGGGTAGGCAAGGAGGCGGTCCCAAAGGCCCCACCTAGACAAGGGGCAGAGGTCTTCTTAGTCGTCATGATGGCCTCTAGTCTTTTGGTGGTAATAAGAGGGAGACAAAACATCTCGGCTTTTGAGATTGGATACAGAAAGAAGAGCTTCGAAGTCTTGATCAGGATCCCTCTCTAGGTCTTCCTCGTTGTCTCCTCAAGAATGATCAGTCTAGAAGGAAGGGTCGAATGGCTCGGGGATCTGTGAGAATCATGTATAGCTGGGTCAGTACCCCAAAAGTATGTAAGTACCCCGAGCAAAGGGATTCTTTGGTTGGTATGTTCATACTTTCACAAGGTCGTCAACGACAACCAAGGCTTTAAGCGACTGCGCGGCCTCTCTCTTGTAATCCTTTGTACACAAACAAAGAAAAAAGTAAGTAGGATGTCTCAACTTAGAAGAATTAAATGCGATGTGGTGGAGACTGACGCACCTAGTCCCCTTATTTCCTTGGGGCAGTAAAGGCTGTTGTACTCGGGTTCATCACCAGTCTCTTATCTTCCATCGAGTAGGAGGAGTTCCTGAGTGTAGCCCTTGTCCTAGTTAGGCAATATGCATCACCAAGTACATAGTGGGGGTCTTGGCATTTGAGAAAGAATTTTTGGTTGCTGGCTATCCTCATGTTATAACAAAAAAGAATTTCGTCGGTCCCAAGGTTGATCCCCAGCCGAACATTGAGGGCGACAACATCCATTACCACTCTAAACAAATTTAAAAAGCACTGGCCAGGAAAAAGACAAAAATGCATAAGAAACCTAAGAAGAAGGGGCGGAAGAGGGAACCTCACGCTGTTTTCAATAATTGTCTTGGTATGAAAGGGCATGAGGTCATCAGACCCTACATCTTCCCTATGGAACCAAGGGACAAAAATAAGGGTCGAGATGATGTTGGGGATATTGTAGGTGGACCTAAATTCATTTAAAGTGGACTTGTCCACTTCAGTTTTCCTAAGTTTTCTACTTCCCATAACTGCCCTAGGGATTTTGGTTCTAGGGGGTCTAGCCATTAGCATTTTGCAGGAGATGAAAGAAGGGAAATAAAAGAGACGAAGTGATGAAGATACTTACAAGAATGTAGAATCTAGCCTCGATGAAGAACTACTCGGAAGATTAGGGGTCTAAGAAAGAAAATCTTTTGAAAAGTCTCTTTGTGCCTAACCCATGCGTTATTTAAACTAAGCCAAGAGAGGGGTGGCAATCGAGAAGGCGAAGATAATAATTAAAATTCAAAAATAGGCAGCAAAACGCGATTGTAACAGCCCTTGAAAGGGAGGTGTGCTGAGGAAGCCTCCATCCCCCTCATGACACCTATCCCACAATGTGAGGGAAATGAATGCTAAGGAGCAGTTGACAGGACATTGACGACGATCCAATTATATGCTAACACATGTCGACCTATGGCGGTTCAGCTAATCAGAACGTCTTGGACCCAAGGAGCACAATGTACCTCGAGCAATAAATGGCATGTTCCTGAACCCTGAGCAACGTGTTGGCATGGGGTGGTTATGTGGAAGTCGGGAGGAGCTGTGAGGTCCTTGAGTCCATGTCTAAAAGTACTCGACCCCAGCCCAAGCACTTGTTACCAAGATGTTTATAATGGTTAGGATGGAGTCATCAATGTGTAGCTCACTCCAACATGCTAAACTCTGACATCAAGTCGCCTCACATTAATGAGGTGTGACACAAGCACTCATTATGTTAGTCGAATGAGTTAGGACATTAATGACTAAGATGTGAAATACAACATGATAGTCACATGTATATATACACAACTAAAACGCGAAATGAAGGTACATAAGCTAACAACGCTTTGCATTGAATACTTTACAGACTTATATGCCGACTGACTTAAATTTCAGATGGATAAGTTGGGTGTCCACCCGACCCTTTTCTTAACTTTGCCCATCGTTTGGAGGATCGTTCGAAGGATTACCAACGTGGACCACTATCTCAACTCATTGCAGAAATTCTCCCGTGAAATAATTATAATAGAAACAAAACATAAAAAAAAAAAAAAAGCAAATACACAAAAGTGAATTCATAACACACTCAACAAAAACTTAAAACCCCAAAACTTTTACTATACTTTTATGCTAGTTAGTTAGTAATCTATTATTTAATTTCATTAAATTAATATTAAATTTTATTAATGTCAACTTTATTTTGTCAAATTAACACCAAATTAATATCTAATTTATCAGATTAACATTAATTATCACCACATTACATTTAGTTTCAACAATTAATACCAAATTGATTGTTAATTTCACCAAATTGACCTTTAATTCCTGTGAATTACCATTCAAAATTATCAGTTTAATTTTTTTTATTAATATTTAATTTTATTAATTAGCATTTAAACTAATCAATTTAATATTTGATTTTCACAATTTAAAATTAAATTTTATCAAATTAACACAAAATGACCTTCAATTTAACATTCAATCATTGAGGTTTTCTTTTAATTGCATTTTTTTTGTTTAGTTAAATTAAGCTTTTCTAAGGTTTTATGTTGGATTAGACTTTTTTATGTTTTAGATCTAAAAAGACGTGAAGAAGGAAAAAGATAGGAAAAATATTTTTTTTGTTTCTTTGTTGAGGGGTAAATTTGTTATTAACAGATAAATATTGAATGGTATAACTGGCAGGACTCTATGTAGCTCTGCAACTCCTGAGTTGACACGTGGAATAATGAAGCCGTTGGGATATCCAAAGGGTGCCGATGAGGTAAGCCGAGGTGTGGTGACACGGAGTAGCCGAGTACTACAGCTGACATCGTATTCAATGCGATATTACCCTTCATTTATGGCAGAATGAGTGATAGTGACAAGACAAGACAAATAAATGCGTGTTTGTCAACACTTGCTCTCTGGGAGTTTAAAGCTACTGTCATAATGACTAAGCATTAATGGCTGATGCGTCGAAACGACGCGATCGGCTTTCCCGAGAAACTGTTTCTCTCCCAAGTATTCAATGCTTAGTTGATGTCGGATGACGATCTGGGGGATTTGGGTACTCGGGGAGTGGCATAAATGCTTGGCATTTGGCCGAGCATTTACCCTATTTTCCTAGCATTCAATAGGCGGAGACGTGAGTAGAAAACACTCATTGCATGAGGAATGATATGTCAGATGTAATATGTCCAGATGAGACTAGAGATCTTTGACAATCATTGTTAATTCAAGTATAAATACTCTTCACAAAAATGGACAAAAATATGCAAACTTGAACTAAAAAAATAGTTTATTGAGTAAAACCCTTCGACCTTATACTGACTTAAGCTTCAGAGGGGATTAGTCGGACGCTCACCTGACCCCTTTTTTTCTGACCCTGTTGTTTCAAGTTCGCCATCTTGAAGATCGCTGACACATACTATTGCAAGAATTATCTCGTGCAATAACTATTTTTGATGTGTCAGTAATATTTTAGATTGTAGGGTACTTGTTGAAAAAAACTATGAATTAGAAGAGAGTACAATGATATTTTAAAAAATTTAAGGATGTTTAAAAAATTATGCTTATATACTAGGGGTGTTACTGAAATTTATCCTTTTTTTCGAAAAAGAGAGATGATGACTTTTTTTTTTTTTTTAATGAAATTTATGCTTATAAGGATGTGTTTTTTTTTTTTTTTATGATTGAGTTGCGTTGTGGAAAGTGGAAACACGTAGAAATTGCAGGTTGGTGAAAGTTTGACACATGGCAGTCTGTGATGATTAATGGACACGTAGCAGGGCGGGGTGACACGTTGACAATTCAACGTAATGCATGAGAATAGCAAGTAACGGGTGGGTCATCGGTGGCCCTTCACAACTCCGACGTTGCAAAGAGGGAAGGTTGGTTTAGTGCTCCAGCATTGGATGGGCCAGTTTCAATACCCAATATCAAGGCAGAAGGCCGGACTACAGTTTTTGCTGCTTTGATTATTTTGAATAATGGGTCTGCGGTCCTTTTACATGATTGCCCATCATTATCACGTCCATTTCAAGTGATAGTCTGAGTTAACAACAAATTTGACATCCGTCGGTCTTGGGGCCGTATTGCCATCAAATATTAATATTGAGGGTGTAATTTAAAACAATCAATCTTTCGTGGTGTAAACTGAAATTTTTACAATCTTTTGGGGGCAAAGTGCCATTTGTCCAAACAAATAACCCATCTACAGGAACAAAAAAAATTAAGGATAGATTAAGTGCTTGAAAAATCATCAATCAATTATCAAGAGAAACAAATTTTACACAGCAATCAAAACAAAAAACCAAACATTCATTATTAATTCACATACTAATTCCCTTACCACTGTTGCCCTGATCCCCTACAAAGCTTTCTTCGTTTCTCCCTCAATCGACCAAAGCGGGTCAGATGTATAAACTATCGAACAGTCACGACTCATCGATGCCATGAATTCGAATGTTTAGTCTCCTAAGCCAGACTGAATGAAGTATCATATGAAAGACATCGTACCTCTTTGGAGGCAGACTCACCTCAAAATGCCTCCTTGTTTGGGTACCTCGCCTCTGCATTCTTATGTACTGCCTAGGAGATATTGCCGACAGAATTTTCTTCAGGTTCGGGATTTCCTTCACTGGAACTTCAACAGAGAAGGACTTCCAATTTAGCACATCGCTGAATGGTGGCACATAGTGGTCCTTAATGAGTACCGGAACACAGCCTGTGTAAAGTGCCTCCACCATTCTTGGACTCGCAACTTCATAACCGCTAGCACATATGCAGTACTTGCTTTTCCTCAGCATTCCATAATACGAGACACCCTTCGGAAGGTACTTGTGAACCTGAACCTCTTCGTCTTTGTTTTCCCAATGTTCAAGAAGTATTGGCCTTATCGGCCCATGAAGCCCTCCAGCAAAGAAAACCAAATACGGTCGTCGCGATGGAGATGGGCCACCTATCAGGCCCTCTATTGTGCCAGCAGGGAGAAGAATTTCTGGAAAGGACACGTCCTTGGAGGGTTTGAACCCTTCTGAGGTATTTGCATTGCATAGAGCACGAATCGAGTTTTTGTATAGGTTAGGAACAGACGAGGAGAGTTCAGGCCCCTGCAATGAACAGAGTCCCTAAAGAGTTAAAACATTATTGAGATCAATTTTGATAGCCTATGACCTTTACTGGGAATAAAAACAGTATTAACGAATCAAAATTACAATCCCATGGTACAAATCAACTACATAATGTCGCAACTTATTGTTATCAGCTATAAAATGTCTCAACACTATCTATGAAGTATGTGACTCGGAACTTCTTATTAGATGAAATGCAATTTATAGAATAGAGATGTTTGTATAATCTAGTAGCCAGTGTATATGTTGATAGCTTAATAGCAACTGACAAGCCTTTGCAACAGCTGTTGTGAGTCTAATAGGGTAGTAGACAAAACAGAACAACTTCTTATACAAATATGGTTTGTGATCGGAAAATACTCAAGTTTCATGGTTTGTAATAAACGCTAATTGACAATTCTTTGAAGCAGAGCATTGAATTTTCACACAAAACTAGAATTGAACTAAGGCTATTTCATCATGTTTGTAGAAAATGGTAACTATGGCCAAGTTTCTAAGACTACCCACAACCTGCGTGACCAGTTAAAGTTGCACATGACAAAAGCTTAACCTCAAACAAACGTTAAGAAACCAGAAATGAGCAGATAATTTTAAATACACTCAGTGTGTTAGGAAAACAAAGCGGTATTCGCTTACCCAATCATGGCAAGCAAGCATGAAATGGTCAGCCCCTAGGCTTCGATTCCAATAGGGGTATTTTACAGCAAGGAGATTGACGTAGTCTCTGACCGTTTCTTTCATTGGATGCCAATCATGGTTACGCTCATAAATAAAGTGCACTATTGATGTCACACTAATTGGAAGAAAGTAAACATGGGCTTTGTCCGGGTCTCTTGTTCGAAACTGGGTTGTCTCCATATGGTAAATAAAGCTCCCCTCCATTGCATATATGCTCTTGCAGGGACCATTATGAAAAATCGGAGGCTCTCCTTCTTCATAGACAAATATCTTGAATTGTTTTTCCATTTCCAAATAGCTCCTGTAATCACATAGCAGATTCAAAGGCGATACTTAATCCAAATGCTGGCTAGACGATTCATAAATACTTGGAATGAAACATAAGATTAAATGAATTATACTTTAATTGGAATGATTTGCACGAATTGGTAAAATTATTGCTCCAGCCAATACTCGAAAAGTTCAGTTTAATCATAAATATTCTTCCATCAATGCTACATAACAAAGCAACTTCTGAAAATATTATATTAAACACGGCTAAATCCTCGTAAGACACTCCAAACAGGGGATGAAACATATTTTACTTGTAAAACATTCAAGATATAGTGATCGTCAAAGAAGCATTACCGGTGAAAGGCCTTGGCGTTCCAGTACATTGGACCTGTTGGGATATAGTCCGGGTCATGTGTTTGATTTCCATTTTTAGCTTCTCTAATTGCACCTCGAGCCCGCCCCAAGCCGGCTTCGAGCCTGAGTAAATTGCTGTGCTTTCTTTCTAATCTTCCACTCAATGGAAGAGCATGAGTTTCATTCCAAGAAGGAAAAACGTGGGGAATGTTGGTAGTAATATTAAAGCTCTCTTTTGTATTTCCAACCTGTTGAATCAAGAAATAAATGCTTGTTCCAAGTATAATAAAACTAAGGTAAGTATACTAATTACACAGATTACTGGTTTTCCAATTTTCATATAAAGACAAAATTCAATTCTTATGAGTTCGTGGTATTACATTGAATTCTTATTCTTCATCACATATTCATTTACACAGTAAAGTAACCCGATGTGAATACTATTAGACAAACGACCCAAGGGCTTTTTTTCCCAGCAACATCGCAAGAACACCCTCACCCCCAACAAAAAAACAAACCACAGCCGGGCGGGGGACAAAAAGAGTACGAGTTCACAAACAATCCAATAATTTATTCGATAATAAAATTAAATTTTCTGAGTTAACATTTTTTATGAATTTTAGAGAACAAGCCGAAAAAAAGAGCTTCTGCATATAATCTTGCATTAGCTTGAATACTATCGATCTAGTGGTTATTTTATGGAGTAAATTTAATTTTCTTGCCCATTTCATCATTGATGTGTTATTGAGTAACTTAGTTCAGGCACCAAGTTATTGAGGTATAGTAGACCACATACATGGGCTACAGTCCAAACGATGGCGTTTTTCACTTAATGTCCAGGTTCCTTGGGAACATGTCTACATTGCCAGTACCCTTCTTTAATAAGAAATATACAAAACAGACGAACCTTTAACAAATCTTAAACAAACTCATTAATTAAAGAGAGGAGAAAAAGTTTTTTGGACAAAAATTTCAAATGGACAATAGCCATTCCACTTGAAATTTTGGATATAATTAAGGAATTATTGGGTATTCGTATGAACCACGGATATTCCGAAACATTTTGTCGTTTACTATGCCTTTCCTCGTCTCTGGGTGCCTAAGTATTTACCGTAAGCCTTTCCTCGTGGACCGGATAATCGTTCAAGATAACATAAAAGAAAATTAAATATTTTTACGTATGATAGAAGTCTAATACCATATCTCCAATTTTACACCTACCGATTAATTTATGAGTTTATTTTATTTACGATTTTTAACATCAAAACTAAAAAATATCAATTTTTTTTTTAAAAATGGTATTAAAAAAATATCAATTTTTTTTATACCGTAAGTTATAAACCCCTAAATACACACACACACGTTCATATCTAAGACACACCGATCATGACATGGAAGAGAGAGAGCATAGACTTACAGGCTGCTGGACATGTACGGCTTCTACAGAAAGTGGCGGTGAACAAGAGCGGTTTAGATTGTAGTCATCTGAAAGAGACTTTTCTCTGTTATCACCACCACCCACCGTCCTCGGCCGCAAATCTAAATTCGCCTCCGTGTCTTTTGGTGGTGAAACAGGACCCTGTACGGCGTCTGAGCTCATAATTCCATTCCCAGAATAAGATGTGATAAAAGAGTTCCATGCCCATGGATAGTTCTGAGAAGCAAAACCCCACTTGGAGGAGGGCTTTGAACCCAGTAAACCCACAAACACAGACACCACAATCAATGGTAACATAAACCATAAAATTCTTGAAGATGATGATGATGTTGGAATCCAACATGGGCACACCCTTTTCTTCCGCTCCCCCATCTCTCTCTCTCTCTCTCTCTCACACACACACGCACACACGGGGTTTTCTGGGGGAGAGACAGTTTCCAGGTAGGAATACAAAAGGAGGCAACAAAAACTGTATGGATATCCTCAAAATTGTTGATAAATATTTAGTTGCCTAAAATTTTCTTACCAAAAGAGCTGTTTCCCTTACACCTCTTTCGGTTTCTCTTTCTCTCTTTCTCTCTCTCTCTAAATCTTGTTTCTATCTCTATTCATGCAAGTATATACCTTGCTTTCCTCTGAGGTGGCTGTGTTTTTCTCTCTCCTTTTCTTGGTAAAGGGTAGCACTAGCACCCCTTCTGTTTCTTTCTCTCTTAAATCTTGTCTCTCTTTCTCTCTACATGCAAAATATATATCTTGCTATCTGTCTAAGGTTTGGTGTGATTTTCTGTGTCTTTCTTGGTAAAGTGAAGGAAAGAGATGAATTGGTGACCAGGGGGAGAGTAACAATTGGTGAGAGATGGTTGTAACACCACGCCAAGCGTCTCCTTGTTCTGGCCTCTGTTTCCGAGTTCTTCATGCAAAATATTTTTCATATTTCCACTTCTATCCTTTTCCTAAATACAAAGCCCACCCTACCCCCAATGATGTCATAAATATATTATCACTTTTCCTCAATGCTTCGAGTACGAATTGTTGTGTACTCGCTACAATAGGTTTGACTCGTTTACTAACTTCCTTGTGGACGCGAGTACGTTAAAATGTTTTAGTGTTGGCGAGTGGGTTTTGTTTTTGCAGATTCGTAATTAAGTCTATACCCGGTTTCATACTGGAATTAAATGAAATTGGAATAAGCTAATTAATTATTTACTGTCATTGATGCTAATAATTTTAATTTTGTTTGACATGGTTGCCCCTGGATTTCGGTCTGGATCCTGAGTAAATATTGGGTGTAATTATTTAATAAAATATAGTAATAAAATAACATGAGAGTGATTATGTATTACATGTCTGAGTGGTTGTTGAATTTTTGCGAAACATATTTGCTAATTTGTTTACTTATTATTTGACGGTTGCACCACGTGACATTACTTACATGATGTAACGGTTATACCCAATTTTTTTTTTCCTGAATCATCTCTTTTATATTTATCATCAATTTTATTTGAGGATAGGTTGAGACGGATAGTATAAAAATAAAAAGTCTCACTTCTATATATATTGTTTAATAAAATTGGAAAAAAAAATAAATTAGAGTGGACCTTTATGTAATACTAGGGTAACCCTGTATTTGAAAGCGCGATATAATGTAAATAATTTTGTGAGAAATGTTAGTGGTCGTTAGATGAATTTATTTGAGACCGTCAGATAAACTTGTTAAAATTTATCATATTTTATATTATAGATGCGAGATGAATGACTTACTTGCATACGTAAAAGCCTCACTTCAATTCATAATGAATGAAATGAATTAATAAGAATTTTACAAGGTGGAGTCAGAAATTAATTGAAGGGTGGGCACTTTTAACTAGGCCAAACTCTATAACATTAAGTCATTAATGACCGTAGACTTTCGCAAAGATGACTTTAATTTTGTGTACAATAGAATGATGTAGATCATAAATCTAAATTTCATTAAAATTCAAAACGTCTATACAAAAGATTTCATAACAAGCGAAACATTAAAAAAAAAAAAATTAAATGCAAATGAAATAGTTATTATCAAATGGAAAATGCTATGTAATCCAAATTTATATCCCAAATGAAAGGAGACTATTAGATTAATGGGTTCCATCAATTTTTTAAATGGGACTCACTGGCCCAATGGTCTCCTTCATTTGAGATATAAGTTTGGGTTACAGATTTGAGTTAAATAGCATAGTTTTTACCAAATAATATTATTTTTTACCAAATGATTATATTGAAATCAACAACAAATTACACTTGAGTCATACAATAGAGATATAATAGATAAATTATATATATTTTTTTCAATTGAGAGTCGATTCAAACAATAGATTTATCTCTAACTGTTTTTCATCAATCTTAAAAAATTGACCTTGGCTTATTTTTATATTTTATATTTTATATCAAAATCATAATGTTATTAAACAAGAATTTAAGAAGTAAGCGTAATAACACTTATAGAATTCAATTGAAATAATTTAAATCATTAATTTTAGAATGTTAGAGATCAATTAGACGCCAATTACACACAACACAAATATACAAATTATGAAGTCAATTTTAAAGGTGGCCACAACTTATTTATATCTAAAACAATTGCTAAATTATAGATATTTATAAGAAAAAAATTTGAGTGTGGCCCCTGGCCCTACATACATCCGCCCATGATTATCTACCATCTAAAATCTTTTTTTTTTTTTAACGGGTACCATCCATCATCAAATTGCAACCACAAAGGTGACAAATTTAATTGTAACCCAAATCTCCCATCCCAAAAAGTCCAAGTTATAACTAAAATCTCCCATCCGAAAATGTCCAAATTATAATTAAAATCTCTCATCCCAAATCTCACATATATCAATTTGTAGGTCCCAAAATTTCAATTTTTGTTGGTGCTTTTGGTCTCTTGTGACTGTAATATTATGTTAAGTAAAGTATATATGTTCAAAATTACATTTATTCTCTTATGTGTGTTCATAAAAAAAATAATATTAAACATAAAACTATATTATTTTTTTTTTGTAAGTATATCGATCGAAATTATTGGTTCGAGTCTTGGAGTTCACATTGGAACCTGGTAGTTGACCCTATGTTATTCTAGCTAGATTCGTTCTCGATAGAAGTAACTCATGTGGTTAGGGACTTCGTGATCTCATCAGTGAACGCCTATCGGAATGGTCTCGAGACGCTATCCAATGCCCCACCCCTTTTTTCAATATCAAAAAAAAAAAGAATTACCAAGTGTTAAACCTTTTGTGTAGATATGTGGTGTTGAAGAGTACTCTCTCGCTCCCAAAAAAAAAAAAATAGTGAAAATTGAGGCTGAGTCCTCTTTAAGGAACTTATAATGAATTTAGTTCTCCAAGAAAACTTATTTAGAGATAAGTCAATTTTTAATTTTACTAATAAATAGTTAAGTCTACTATTTTTTTAAAACTCCAAAATATCCTAATGATTTAAAAATCAATTTTCAACATTAAATTAATTTCCTAAACGGTCATCCTTGATTCACACTTAAAGAAATATTTTTTTTCCATAAAATTTGAATTTCAAATTTAAATTTGACATTACTACCATTTCTCTCTCCCCCTATCTCTCTCTCTCTCTCATTTTTTTTTTTTGCAAAGAAGACTATGATTAATTTAATATTGAATGTTATACGCATGTTACTTTTTTTTTTCTATATTACTATTTTTTTAGTTGAGCATGTTAATATTTTTTTATGAGTATGTTATTATTAATATTGAATGTTATTATGTTTCCGAAATATCAATATTCAATGTTATTTTTTTTGGTTGACCATGTTCCTATTGTTATTTTTTTTCAAAGATTAATATTCAATATTACTATTTTTATTTTTGAATGTTAATATTTTTTTGTGTGTTTAAGTGGTATTATTTTTTGTGTTTGAATGTTACTATTTTTTGTTTTTAATGTTATTATATATATGAGGGAGAGAGAAATAAATAGTCATATTCTTGTTGGAACCTATTTAATGGGACCCACATATGAACCTTAATTAACAAGGTACATACTTAGATTTTGGGATAATAATATCTTAATTAAAATACCTCACATATGTTGGTCAGGATAGTTGATAGTTTCCTGTGAAAGTGGTGTCCTAGGTACAAGAATGTTTAATAAATAGTTAGCTTCCTGACAATTACCTTAATGGGAGGGAACGATTACTCATTATTTTAACGTGCGAAAGTTGGTTACCAGTGAAGTGGAAATAAATTACCTCAGAGACCCCATCGCTTATTCACACTTACAGTATCTCTCATTCTCTGAAAAATCCTATCTTCAATCTATTGAGAATCAAGTTCGTGATTATATTCAGTATTCTTCTCGTGAAAATTTTTATTGTATATCTCTATTAAGAATAATTGTTATGAATCTCATGAGTCAAAGTTAATTTTCTATTTAATCTGTTTAAGACCATTAGGTCTAACAATTGGTATGAGAGCTCAGTCATGGGATTTGGTTTTTAGAATTTAATTTATTCATATGAGTTACCGAATTTTTGTGATTTCTATTATCAAAATTGTGCAAAGAAATTTCGATAAATATACTACGTTGTGTTGATTGTCATCGGTCACACATGAACCTTGTGATTCCTGCTTGACCTTGTGTTTCTTTTGAATGCATGTGAACTACTTTTTGGACAAAAGCATGAAAGTACGATGAATTAGTATTATTTTATTGTTAAAAATTTTTGTGTGGCATATGACATTTTGTCGATTGATGAGATAATATTTGTTAAATTCTTATTGCTAGACAGAAAAGTTGAATGCCTTAAATGTTTGATACTTTGAATAGTCGATGAGTATATCGCATACGTAAAAGTTATCAATATATATATATTTTTAATAGTATGTTTGTCCTATTTGATGATGATGTGCCAGTGTGTTGATGGCATTTTGGCCATGAAGTTTTTTTATTTATTTTTATCCGAATTTAATTTTAGGCCAAACTTAATTATTTTAATTACTGGATTCATATGGATAAAATTATTTATTCATATATCATGATTCGAAGTATTTTATATATAATGACAAGCCAAAGCATCTTGTGTATGAAAACTTATGATTGATAAAATTATATTTATTTTAATTTTATGGTGACGAGCCAAAACATTCCATAATTTTAAAATATAAAAAAATTTATCAATAAAGAATTTTGTTTATCCATGACATTGAACACTTGCACCATATTAAATAATGATTTTACCTCAAAGGGAAGTTATTATATCATAAGTGATCGGTGAGGTGAATGGTTTGAGGTATTGTGACCAAGTTAAATTCTTGTTGCCCAAAGGTATTGAATTCTACTTTTTTATGATGTTTTAT